TATTTATTTATTTAATTTTTTTTATTTTTGTCGTTTTTTGTGTCTTTTTTTTTGTTTTTTTTTTTTATTTTTATTTTTATTTTTTTTATTTAATTTTATTTATTTTATTATATGATTTTTTTTATTTATCGTAATTTTAATTCTTAATTATGATAATTTTTATTAAATTTTTTTTTATATTTTTTATTTTTTATTTAACTTTTTTTATTTACTTATTTATCGTTTTTTTAATTTTTTTTCTATTTATCGCTATTTTTTATTTAACTTTTTTTATTTACTTATAGTTTTTCAAATTTTTTTCTATTTATCGCTATTTTTTTATTTAATTTTTATTTTATTTAATTTTATTTATTACTACTAATTTAATTAAAATTATTATAATCATTTAGGGGCCATAAACACTCAGTATTGTAGCGCGCATAAATCAATTCCTTATAAAATAGTATTCGGACAGCTCCCTCACTGTGATACCAATTTAATTGATATATATGAAAGCGAGGAGTCATTAAATAATTACGCCCTAATACCTGAAGGTTCCCAGTCAACTATTTATTTCTGACAATAGTAGTGAAATGTTAGAATCAGAATTCTATAGTGATATAGATAGAACAAGTTCAAGAAAATTATGGTGACTTAGATTTTGAAATACAAGAAATCGATGATCCAAACGATCAAGATATTGATGATGATAATGCACAAAAAATTTATGATGATCTATTATCGTTATATTATTCTGAAACTGGAGAGGGTTCTAAAAACACACATGCTCCAGGACTTAACGAAATCATTGATTCAGATGATAATTTCGAAATTGAAGAGCACTCTATGCATACACTAGCCCTGGAAGTTATTGAAATCATCGATTCAGATGATGATGATAATCGGCATTACACTGCGCAAGAAAAAAAGAAGTGGCGAGCTCAAATGGATGAAATTAAAGTTAGTTAATTTATTTACGAATTAATAAATAAATAAATTAAAAAATATTAATAACCAAATATTTATTTTTTTTTTTTTGTTTTTTTTTTTCATAGCCAAACTTGACCTGTCCATCTTTTGAAAAGCACGAAACAGTTCGACAATTGGCAATTTTAAATGTAAAGAGAAACCGGGAGCTTATACGAAGTAGAATGGAAGATAAATATAAGGTTAAACGTAGTCAAACATTCGAGCCTGGCAAATTCATAAAAATTCGTATACCTGATATTGACAAGAATAAAATGAGTTAAAGATCCTTACCCTGCAAAGTACTTCAAAAAAAGCCTAATATTGACTTATATCAAGTTGCTTGCCAGTATGGGATACTTGAAAATTGGTTTCCAGCAAGCGAACTTGAGCTACTTGAAACTCCTAATTATCCTTCTCTTAATGTAGTTCCTCTGAACAAAACAATTTCGTTGAGACAAGCAAATTTTAAACAAACCAATGACCTATTAAATCAATCTTCAAGACAAAATAATAACAACGGCAATATTTTATTAAGTAAGTAATAATTTATTATAAATCATATCGATATTACAATGAGCTAATAAGTTTAATTTTAATAATATAGCAATAATCAACCTCTTCAAAACAATCGTTCAAATGGTTGTCGTTGCCAAAAAACCAACTGTTCTACTAATGCTTGTTCTTGCCGAAAGAGTAACTTGCTATGTACACGACTATGTGGGTGTGTTCTATGTGGTGAATGTAGGAATCAATAAGATTCTTTTTTAAATTTTTATAGCAATAATTTATGCAAATCTCTTATTTCTTTTAAAATAATGTATGGAAATTTCTTTTAAAATTTTATATGTAAAATTATTTGAATGCTTTATGATATAATTAATATTTTATCGGTCATACATTTTCACCGATTGAGAAATAACCTAAGTCGTTTCAAAATTTAGAAATGACTTAGGTCAATTCGGAATCGACCTAAATTGTGAAATGAATCAGAACAGATATACCAAACACATTTTATTTATTTATTTATTACATAAAAGAGTGATATTATATGTAAAATTTTTACAAAAGAATCTTTACTTCAAAGTTGAAGCAGGTTATCATAGTAAAATTTTGTGTTAGCTACGGTTTTTTTTTTGTTACAGTATTATACAAAAATCTTTGCTATTTATTGGTTCCAATCAATATGAGTGATCCGGATTTGCAAAACATAAGTGTACCATTGTAGTTATGACTCAATAATAAGTAATAATTTGTAATAATAAGTAGTTCAACATGAAAAACTTGTTTACGCGTCTTTTAATCTAGATCATATCTAGTGTTAACAATATTATTACACTTTTAATATGTATTACGTGAAAATTAACCAGTTACATACGTAGTTTATTTCAATCAAACAATGGTAATGGCATATGTCAACTAATAATCAACATAAATATATTATCGTAACTTAATTACGACAAATAAAAAATCAAACATTTTTAATATAAGGAGATATACGAAAATTTAATCTTTAATTTCAAATACTGAAATAATAACGATATTTTCAAATTATTACATAATAACGATAATCGATATTTTCCATTTATTGACAATGTTTGTACAAAAATAGTAAAAAGATTTGTTTGTGCTAAATTCGGAAAGTAAAAATATCTAGACACAAATTAAGAAATCGGGGAAAATTTATCATTTCACAAAGTGTTTGTAACACTATTGACGTTTAATAATACCGATTTTGGAAATAAATTTGAAATTAAGCGCAAAAAAGAAATTTCCATAGAGAAATATATAATTTATTGATTATACGTAAAATGTCAGCATTCTTGGCGTTAATAAAAATAAAGTGTCAACGTTCTTGGCTGTTAAAGAAATTAGTTAAAGAAATTAAAGAAGGCAAAAAAAATTTTTACAAAATATCTAAAAACTTTAATCTAAAAACGTTATCTTTCACATAAATCAGTTCAGCGTAAAAATATCGCAAGTTTTAAAGGTCAATTTTAAATACGTAAACTACGTATCGATCGATACGTTACACAAATATGGCATATCGATTAGATAGAATAAAAGTTTGTAACATTGTACAAAGAATGATAATATTTCTAAAGAATAAGATCATAAGGATTATGTAGGAAAGTTATAGCGTTACAGTGTTACGGTAAAATAGCAATGTATAAAATAACGTACGTACGTAGTACGTAAATCAATTCTGTTAAAGTAATTGTTAATTCGAAAGTGAATACGTATGAGTGCATTAATGTTAATAAAATATGCATCATTTGTTAATTAAATATGCAGGCAAGTATAAATGATGAACATAATATGAGATTAATGCATAAAACAATGTGGGGATAAATGACTCAAGTATTTTTTGTTTAAGGGAAAAAGCCCAACACGTAGAGTCGGTAGTAATTTAAAACTTGAGTATTATTGTTTTACAAATCACTTTTAAAAATCAAATTATACATGTTGTATAGTAAAAAAAAAAAAAAAACACTAAACGAATGTAATGCATGATTAAGTGCATGATTAAATGCATGTTTCACAACAGGTAATGTAGAAAATGCAAAATTCGAAATGAACATAGTCTTAAAAATCTAAAGACAGATTTTTTATTTTACCTGGTTTTTTCTTCAACGCATAGACAATAAAAGTAATAAAATATACTTTGTATAAATCATCACTCAATATGGTACTGTATTAATCTATACTATACTAATTTAGTAATTTTCAAATTGAATAAAATTTTCCATATAGCCTTATTCTGATAATGGATGGTACACAATTTGTTATACAAAGTATTTTCAGAAAACAATCCTGCATTTATAGACCATTAAAAATTTCAAATTTTTGTGTAATACTTGGACCTTTATAGTAAATTTCAAATTCAAAGTTGTGCAGGGTAACATATTAAGGATTAAAGTTCTTATTTTAATTCGTTAATCCGATGCGAAGGGTACATTTCTGTATAATCTCGGGCACCTCCATAACATGCAACTCGAGAAAAACATACTAAAAATTAGATTTATATAATAAAGTATTAGTTAAAATATTAACTACAATACTGTATTAAAAGAATTATTTTAGCGTAAATTTCTTTGTTAATTGTATAACTTCATTTCTCAGCCCATTTGACCAGAAAGGAGACAATTAGATATTCATAAAAATTATTACTAAGATTTTTCACGTTTTACAAACTGTTGTTTATCAAAACTTTGAATTTCAAATTTACTTTTTTCTATTCTACCCATTCCACAAAAGTTAGAATAATTCTGTTTTTTTAAATAAAATATCGGATAAAAAAAATTCACACCATGAATTTTAGCATATGATCATTAACTCATATTAATGTCGAATTAAATTTGCTTCCAACCTTTTTCCGTCTATTACACGCTTTACCTCACCTTATTTTAATTATTAATTATTCTCCGAATAGATGTTTCCGAGGAATAAGTTTTTTTTTTATTCAAGAAAAATTATGTCAGAAAAAAAAAAAAAAAAACTTTACGCCAATATTTGCCATTTTTATTACTAACATTTCTTTGTCTAATAAATGGTGTGAAATTACTATATTATATAAACTATTCGGAAGACCAACGCAATATGGTAATTAAGTATCAATAAACAATTTAGGTAACATTATCGCGTGTTTTTTATTAACTCACGAGCCATCTTAGATTTTTCTACAAAATAAAATAAAAAAAAAAATTTCCAATTTGCATTCTGAACATGCTTAATTTGGTTCAAAATTTATATAAATACATTTCTTTAATTCCTTCGTTTATAGATTTAGCTAGATTTAATAATTGATGTTGTTTTGAGGTGTGACGAGATACTGTCCTATTCGTTTTGTGCTCTTGTAATACGATAAAAATATATTTATTTATTTATTACGCTCCTAACTTTACTTTTTTTTTTTTTTTTTTTTTTACCTCCAATTTATCAAATTTTTTTTGTTCATTAAATTTGTTGGAAGGTCTTGAGCACCTATTATATTAGGTCTATTTTTATTTTTATTTTTTTTAAAAGGAATATAATAATAATTAATAACCATAACCATGACCGAAGAAATTAAAGATCATAAGGAACATGTTAGTGAAGTTAAAATTGAGAGTGATTACGATAAAAAACGTCGTGAAGCTCTCGCAGAAATTGATAATGCTAAATTTGGATGGTTTCATATTAGAACATGCATTGTAGCGGGTGTGGGGTTCTTTGCTGATGCCTATGACATTTTTGCTATCAATCTTGTGGTAGTTATGTTAGGCTACGTATATTATGGAAAAAATTCTCTCCCTTCTGATGTCGATTTAGGTTTAAAAGTTGCCACCCCTGTCGGAACTTTTGTCGGACAGTTTGGTTTTGGTTTGTTAGCTGACCTTTTAGGTCGTAAAAGGGTATGTTACTATTTATTATTTATTATTTAAAATTCATTATTTTTTTTATTTTTAATTAATTAATTAATTAATTAATTAACTATCTTATAATTTATTTATTTGATTTTTTTTTACTTTCAACAATTAATTATTTAGATGTACGGCATAGAGTTGATGATTATCATCTTCTGTACATTGGCTATTTGCCTTGTATCGAATTCCTATGTCTATGATCCTAATACAAAAGGTTTTACCAACAATGCAAGCGTTATCTCCGCTCAAGGCCTTATGCTATTCTGGCGTATTATCTTGGGTATCGGAATTGGTGGTGATTATCCTCTTTCAGCAAGTAAGTTTTAATTCTTTTTTATCTTATGTTATTCTACTGTTTCATTTTATTATATAATCTCATGTAACCTTTTTTAAAAGTTATCGCTAGTGAATTCGCTACGACTAAACGTCGTGGTGCTATGATTTCTGCTGTCTTTGCTATGCAAGGAATCGGCATATTATCCGCTGCCATCGTTTCAACAATTACTGTAGCTGCTTTCCAGAGCGTTATCTCTCCAACTGATTATTCAAAAATTGATTATATATGGAGAATTGTCACAGGCTGTGGTGCGGTGCCCGCCGTAGTTGCCCTTTATTTCCGACTTACTATCCCTGAGAGTCCACGTTATACTATGGATATTGAACGTAATGTTAATCAAGCTGCTAATGATATCTCAACTGTATTAGAATATGGCACATATAAACCTCGTGAACAGGATGTCGTAATTAAAGTTGATGCTCCTGAATTCAGTTCCGGCGACTTCTTCCGATACTTTGGTAATTGGAAAAATGGTAAAATTTTATTTGGAACTGCTTTTACGTGGTTCGTTTTAGATGTGGCCTTTTATGGTGTCGGTCTTAATAATAGCATTATCTTGAGAAACATTGGTTTTCTTGGTGACGGTAAAGATCCCTATGAAACTTTATTTAAAGCTTCTGTTGGTAATATTATCATCGCGTTATTGGGTACTGTACCTGGTTATTGGGTTACTGTATTTACTGTTGACCATTGGGGAAGACGTCCTATTCAACTTTTCGGTTTTGGCGCTCTTACCGTATTATTCGTTATCCTCTCTACTGCATATTGGCAACTCCTGAATATTATTTGGCTTTTTATTATATTATTTACATTAGCTCAAGTAAGTTATATTTAAATATTATATATTTATATGAAATTTTATTAATTACTTATTAATTACTTAATTACTTATTATTAATTACTTATTAATTATTATTATTATTATTTTCTTTTTTTAGTTCTTCTTTAACTTCGGCCCCAACACTACTACTTTCGTCATTCCTGGTGAAGTATTCCCAACTCGTTACCGTTCAACTGGTCATGGAATAAGTGCTGCCTCTGGTAAATTAGGCGCAATTATTTCACAAGTTGGATTTGCCAAATTACAGTATCTTGGCGTAAATGTGTTATTCGGAATCTTTTCTGCCTTCATGTTTGCTGGTTTTGTTGTCACATTCTTTTGCACACCTGAGACAAAGAATGCCACTTTGGAAGAATTGTCAAATGAAGATCAAGAAGGCTTTGTTAAGGGTGTACATAAGCCTATTATTATCGATGCCAGTAATACTAATAATACTAATAATAATTAAATGACCTGTTTACCATAGATTCTGGACATTTATTTTATAGTATAAAAATTTTTCATGTGCATCAAAATTTAAAACCTGTTCATGTATTTATATTCATCATCATATTACCCTATACACTCATTTTATCCCATCAAAATTATTATTATAATTCGATAAAAAAAAAAACTTACCAAATTTTTAAGAGCTTTTTTTTTTCTCTCTCTCTCTATAAGACATCGTTTGTATTATTAATTTTTAAAAATATTATATTAATATTCATCCCAATATGGTTTTAATATATACAAAACTAGTATTACACATATGGGTAACTTTTATTATCTATTTTGTATAGTGTAAAATATACTACGTAATGTTATATTGATATTTTTGGGGCACATGGTATAACAAATTAATTATATAGTACTTTTTTATTATATATATGATTGACTAAACGTCAATAAAATAAATTAAAATATATTTTAATTATACTATCTTTTAGATCGTCAAATGTTCATAAGCAAATTTGCCTAATGAATATCTTAATCAAAAGTAACGTTTTGTTCACAAATTATATACATGAATTAATTGAAATATTTAGAACATTTTTTAAATTTCGTTTTAAAAAAAGTTTTTTTTTTTAAACCTGTTCGTAAGTTGCGGCTTATTTATTTTTCTATATCAGGAAATGCCTAACTGTTCTAAATAAAGTTTCTTAGCTTCTAAATCCTTAATATTATTATACTGTATAGCAGAAAAACTCTCAAATATGAGTAAAAATATTTTACATTAATAATAATAATAATAATAATAATATTGTGTTTCCATAATTTATATTTGAATCTAATATTGCCTAACCCTCAACGATAATTACTAAATATTGGGTAATTTCGTGAAGTTACAACCATCGTATGTAGGTGAGCTTACTAATCATTCCGAATTTTACTCCGAAGTTAAGCTGATAATAAAACATGAAATTTGTATCTTTTAAGATTATTAAGCACTTGTCATAGATTGGATGAATTTAGAAAGAGTTCATCCTCCTCAATCAAAGGCATCTAATTTCTCAGAAAGTTAATGTTAAAATCAGAACGTCTACTAACTATTACGTTATTTTTTTAACGTCAACACAAAAACTCAAGACTTGCACTTTAAATTCCACGTGTACGTACGTACGTACTTACGTACGTCGTACGTGAAATAATTAATGTATACGCGATTTACATGCACTACACCTTCGAAAATATATAATGGAAGGCAGATTTGAGAAACGTGGGACAAAAATTACACAGTGACAATGTGCTTGGCTTTAACCATTCCTTAACTTTAAAATAGATTATCGTAGATCTTTCAACCGCTTAAAGTTTACCCCGACAAGTACTACATAAAATGCAAATAAATAAAAAATAAAAGTTACAACAATACATTATAACAATACATTATGCATAATAACAAAGAAATCTATACTCATTTATTTTAAGTTGGGATTAAACTTTAAATTACAAGTTTAAGTTCGAGACTAGACTATCTATGTAGTTCAAGGCTTTGATCTAACTTAAACCATTAATATAATAGAAAAATGATAATAAGTGAATAAAAATTTTGAATACAATGTTAGGGCGTGGAAACTTGCGAAGGTAACGCCGATACTAATGTTAAGAATGGAAATTTTGATAATGCTATAAATGTCTATCATTTTTGTGCCCAAGGCACGCGTATTTTGTGTTTCGCGTACGTAATTACGTACATACAGTAAGTACGTAAGTACGTACGTACGTATTACACATATTTTCATCGATCTGACCAATAAAAAAACTCAGGATCGTGAGTGGATGTGACTGTGAGAGATTTTTGCTACTCCGAATATTATTAGCATTGCACATAGAAATCTGGGACATCTTTCAAAAACCATTAAAATTATTTTTATTTCACTTATTACAGTAAAATAAACAAAAATAATGTATACATATATTTTAAAAAAAAAAAATTAACTAAAGTTTTTTTTCATATTGACTAATAATTTAATAGCTTTATCATTTCCATTATTGGCTGCAAGATTTAAATATTTTAATCCAAGTTCTTCATTCTTTTGCGTTTCATGATTTCCATTATAATAAATCTCTCCCAAATAAAACATTGCATCTGTATTTTTATTATCAGCTGATAATCTTAAATAATGAATAATCTCATCACTCATTATTCCTTTTTTACTATCGGATTTTTCTTTTACAATATCTTGAAGCAATAATAATGCATATTGAAGCTGTGCATTAGTATGGTCATTATCAGCTGCTTCTTTAAAAAGTTGTTTTGCCCGCTCTTTATTCTCTTTAACTCCATACCCATTAAGCAAATAATACGCCTGCCAGTATTTTGCTAATAGATCACCAAGAGCCGAATTTTCCTCGAAACATTTCCATGCTTTGTCGTATTCTCTCTTTTGATGACATTCAATTCCTTTTTCAATAGGCATTAAAAAATCTATAGTTTCAGGCTTTTCTTTGAACTCTTTTTTCGTTTTATTACCTAACTGTCCAGAAGAAGGGGTAATTGGATTGCTTGCAGCTAAGGTTTCAAGTTTTCGATGTAAATTTGAGAGGTCTATTCGTTGATCTGGATTATGTCGCCAAGCTATTTATTAAATAAACAGAAAATAAGTTAAAATACTCGATAAATCTGTAATTATTATTAAAATTACCTTCATCAATTATCTCAATAAATTCTTTTTGAATTTGTTCATCAACAGGATTATTTAAATTTCCGATTAAAAGCTTTTCTCTTTTACCACTTAAAATATGTTCTGCTATATCTTTCATTTGCAAACTTTCATAAGGAATCTTTTCATAACATAGTTCCCAAATAAGCATTCCGAAACTAATTGCGAAAATAATTGTTAAATTATAATTTAAAAAGAATTTAATTGATGAAATTAAAACGATAATTACCTAAATATTTCACATTTAGATGTATATGTATTATTTGTAAGATTTTTATCAGTGCGATTTTTAATTTGTTCAGGAGCCATCCACTGAATATTATCTATTAGATTGGCTTCCATTACTTTCGGTAATCTGAAATTCCCAAGCTTTGAGCTCAGGGTTTGTGTCACCTATAATTTAATAACATTTAATAACTTATTAAATATTTTAAATTTAATTTAATATACCTACAAAAACATTTTCACATCTAATATCGTGATGAAAAATATTTGCTCGACGTAAAAATACAATGCCGCAGCATATATCACGAATAAATTGTAATTTTCTAATCCAAGGAATATCGAATTTATTATAAACCTCTTTCAAAGTTCCATATTCGCACCATTCAAAGATCGTATGCTCAACGCCATTAATCTTTGAGAGTCCATAAAAGTCAAGAATATATTGTGATTGATTTAATTTTCCGAGAACTAATAAGTCACGTTCGGTATCTTTAATGAGATGATCAATAGCTGGTTTACATGCAACGTTATTTACTCCGTAAACTTTTTTAAAGACTCGACCACGAATGTCACCTTTTGTAGAAACATTAGGATCGCTCAATTCATTTGAATCAATCCTTTGCGCCTGGACATCTAAACTTTTAGATTTTTTTAAAATATCTATATTTTGAGTTAATTCATCAATGTTATGATCGATATTTTCAGATATACTATCGTCCAATTCCCTGAGAGTCTATCGACGATTCAAAAAAAGAAAAAGGGTTTACATTACGGTAACGAGATAAATCAAGGCGAAATGAGTTTTCAAAGATTATACTTACTTTTTCAACTTCCGATAGAGCTTTATCAACACTTTTAGCGTCTGAAACTCTGTCATTTTCATTAATAATTGCCATAGTAAAATT